CCGGCCCCCTCTCCTTGTCCTATTCGGGCCAAGGAAGGGGAGGGGCGCGCGGCCCATCTTGGGCTGCCCCTTCTCTTTTCCACTAAGGCCCACTTAGGCCCATATAGCTCCCGGGGGGTTCCGGTAACCTCCCGGTACTCCGGTAAAATCCTGATTTCACTCGGAACACTTCCGATATCCAGACATAGGCTTCCAATATATCAATCTTTATGTCTCGACCATTTCGAGACTCCTCGTCATGTCCGTGATCACATCCGGGACTCCAACAACCTTCGGTACATCAAAATGCATAAACTCATAATATAACTGTCATCGTAACCTTAAGCGTGCGGACCCTACGGGTTCGAGAACAATGTAGACATGACCGAGACACGTCTCCGGTCAATAACCAATAGCGGAACCTAGATGCTCATATTGGCTCCTACATATTCTACGAAGATCTTTTATCGGTCAGACCGCATAACAACATACGTTGTTCCCTTTGTCATCGGTATGTTACTTGCCTGAGATTCGATCGTCGGTATCTCATACCTAGTTCAATCTCGTCACCGGCAAGTCTCTTTACTCGTTCTGTAATACATCATCCCGCAACTAAATCATTAGTTGCAATGCTTGCAAGGCTTTAAGTGATGTGCATTACCGAGAGGGCCCAGAGATACCTCTCCGACAATCGGAGTGACAAATCCTAATCTCGAAATACGCCAACCCAACATGTACCTTTGGAGACACCTGTAGAGCTCCTTTATAATCACACAGTTACGTTGTGACGTTTGGTAGCACACAAAGTGTTCCTCTGGCAAACGGGTGTTGCATAATCTCATAGTCATAGGAACATGTATAAGTCATGAAGAAAGCAATAGCAACATACTAAACGATCGGGTGCTAAGCTAATGGAATGGTTCATGTCAATCAGATCATTCAAATAATGATGTGATCCTGTTAATCAAATGACAACTCTTTGTCCATGGTTAGAAAACATAACCATCTTTGATTAACAAGCTAGTCTAGTAGAGGCATACTAGTGACACTCTGTTTGTCTATGTATTCATACATGTATTATGTTTCCGGTTAATACAATTCTAGCATGAATAATAAACTTTTATCATGATATAAGGAAATAAATAATAACTTTATTATTGCCTCTAGGGCATATTTCCTTCAACCGCCACCAATCTGAACAGCCACTCGGTAGTCTTCAAGCCAAGTATCAGGCTTGGACTCCCCGGTGAACTTACTAACTCCAGACGCCAACCTGAAGTTGGGGGGAATCACCGCAGCTCTGATAGCTTTGCAGAAGCACTCTGGACCAGAGACATGCACCCTGTTGCTGGTTTGTGGACCTCCATCATGGCCCTCCCGGTGAGCTCTGTTTCTGTCGACCAAGCCTTGCACGAGAATAGATCTCGCATCAAAGACTGGCTCCCTGGGGTCGATTGGAATACCTCGCCCAACACTGTGAGGACGTCTGTCTTCATGCTGCCGAGGCGCGTACGACCCGCTCCTCGGGGGAGGCGTGGGCACTCGACGGTGATCATCACGATCGACTCAGCGATCATACTGCTCTCGGTTTTTGTACTAATCTCGTCGATCCCCACGTCCCTCACGCCTCGGAGGCAATCTTGGGCTATGGGCCGATTGAACTATGTCTGACATCACGAATCTGCTGTGGATCCTATCCCGCGACTGAGATACAACTGTATTCTGCTCTCCTGCCGCCCGAAGCAAGGCTCGGATCTGCACCAGACCTCAACCAGCTTCTGACTGGGAGGTTTGGATCGACTCCGCTATCCGGGCAGCAGCAGCTAGATTCTGGATCGGGGTTCGGTATACCTGAGTTGTAGGTGGAAAAAGTTGGCGTCGACTGGATTCAGGAGCACGTTGTCGAGTACGATCGTCGAGTGCGCGCTGGAGGTTCTCCAGTCGAGTGCGCTTAGCCAGATTGGCCAAGCGCGCCTGCTCCAAGGCCTGGGCCTCAGGGGTTTCTCCAACTATAGGAGTGTGCAGGGCATCCATGTTCCGGTGACGAAGTTCTTCCCTCTGCTGCGAGGAGAGAGGTTCGGGGCGGTACTCCTCGTGAACACGCGACGGATCGCCGTTCCCGTCACCTCCGTCTTCACGATTGAAGCCAGGAGGACTGCGTGGTCCATTGACCATCAGGACTTCCGCCGCCGAGTCACTGCTGCCGCACTCGGATGCGGTCTCTACGGAGCCAGTCGACAGATCGAACAGGCCATAGAGAGATTCGTCAGGCTTGATCGCCGCGACTTGAGGGGCGGCCCATTGGCGGGCCACCACATGCTTCACCCACCGCTGAAGCCTCGACCGACCGGTGCGCTTGCTCCGGCAGGTCATAGGGAGGGGGAAAGCTGCTGGAGTCGACTGGTACTGGGTCGACGGTTGCCGCAGGAGGACACCGCCGACGCATGCGCGGAAGTGCACCGCCCCGCGGGCGGGGAGCGCGTCGGCGTCGAGTGGTGCCTCCCGGAGCCAAGCGGAGTCGTCGGCGACAAACACGAGCGCGCCGAGATGGATCTCGCGGCCCTCAGCCAAACCTCCGCCTGGAACCATGATGAAGTGGATCGAAAAAATTGCAACTTCTCCAATAAGTCGCTAAGACACCTGCCCCACGGTGGGCGCCAACTGTCGTGGATCTAAGACTGACAGTAGAATAGGGGGTAAGTATGCGGAGGCAAGATCCTAACTATGGAGGAGTTGTACGCACGAGTTTTACGAGTTCAGACCCTTCTCGGAGGAAGTAACAGCCCTACGTCTCGGTGCCCTGAGGCGGTCGACTGGATTATATGAGTGTGTGTTTACAAAAGTGCGAACCCTTGTCCCAGAGGAGGGGGGTGGCTTATATAGAGTGCGCCAGGACCCCAGCTCCCCTCCGTTACACAGGGTTCAATGTTCATAAAGGAGGGACGTTACTGGTAGCGCATGCAGTAAAGTGCTATAAATGACCATAAAGCTATAGTTTAAGTCTTGACCGTTGCAGAGTGGAGAGTTTCTCATCTTCTGGTGGTCGAGTGTCTTCAAGGTGGTCGAGTGAGCGCATCTTTATGGTCGAGTGGACGATGGTTTCTCTTCGACTGATTCTGATTCTTTACAGAGATGTCCTTGGGGAGGGTATGTCGGACATGTCCATGACCCTACCCTAGATACATAGCTTCATCAGTTGCATCTTTCCAAGATAGGTTTGGCGCCTGGTCTGGCTAGCTTGGGGCTAGGTGGACTGGACTCCCATATCTTTCGAGAAACTATTGCCATGGTGTTGCTCACTAAGGACGAAAGCCTGGCGCAGGAAAGATCTGAATACCTTGTTGTTGTTGGTAGCCTGGCTACTCTTGAAACATCATAATGGCATTGTTTTTGAAGGGGTCACACTTTCTACCACGACTCTAATAGCGAAGATCATCGAAGAAGGGGAGGTTTGGATTGTGGCTGGATTGTCCATAAAGATTTACGGCCTTCTTTGAATCGTTGTATAGGTGGGCTAATAGCAAGAGTAGTTCCAGTATACTTGTGGATGGATCGTTTGCGTTTGGACGCAAATGATGTAAGGCACTGGACGGGTTATCTTACCCTTTCTTCTATGACTATATGATACTCATGCTTGTGCGTAGATAGAAAAAAAGGTTGCATGTAATTGTGTAGAAAGAAAAGTTAATTGATTTTATATAATAAAATTGAAAACAGG